AAACAACCTTCCAAACCTGAGGGGCTTACCCCTAGACCCCCTTCCGATTGCTGTTTCCCTATTGGGGCTAAAGCCACTCGATTACTGTGGACTTAATACTTGTGCGGCATTTGTTGTGACACTTTTTTCATTTGACATATTTTGCTTATGCATAATATTTCATTTATTTATTTTTTCTTTCATTTTCTTTCTCTTTTTTTTTTTTTTTTTTTTTTTTTTTTTTTTTTTTTTTTTAATATGATAGTGTCATTACATTTTGCGGTTCAAAACCTCAGTGTGAAAGTCTTATGTCTATCATTCGGCAGTGTTAATGTGATTGTCACTTACATGAAGATGAGCCAAAGTTGCTTGTGTCTTCCTCTGTCTTGTGTTACTATTGTGCTGCCAATAACTCCATAGGATTAAGTATATGCATATTGTCTGTTGTCATATTACTGTTTTCATCTTTGTATCAAGTATTTGGTCAGAATTTTAGATGCACATGGTACACAGATGCAGTATAAGGAACAAGGCAATCAGACATTCTGCAAGGATCTCCTGCCATTACAACTCGCAGCTATTTTTTATTTATTTTCTGGGTGCCACTAGTGCAAGAGGTTTTGAGGTCTTGTATATTACAAGGTACTGTGACATTATGGAGGATGGTTGAATTGTTTCAGATATGGCCAGTGTACGTCACAGGTTTTAGTACCCAGTTTCATAAGTTCTGAACAGCTGGCTTGTGATCATCATACCCTCACTACGGAGACTCTTTCCAAAGAGATGATTATTGAAATGTATTTTAATTGAATTCTATCAGTCTTTTTGAAACCTCCTGTTATCTTTGATAGTTGTTACATTATCTGAAGTTCAATGTTGCACAAGCAATTTCAACAAAAAGCAATGAACTTACACCATGTTTATTCTGGCAAAGGTTAAGTTTTACAGTATGGACACACAGGTAGGGCAAATTAAAGATTTTCATGTAGAGGACAAAAAGCATTAGGAGTCAGTATAAGAAATAATCTGCAGACATGAACAATAACATCACATACACCAAAAAAAAAGAAAAAGAAAAAAAAGTGGAAAGCGTCACTCACAGCCCAAGTTCACATGGACTTCTAAAATTTCAGCTCGTCTGGCAGTGCATATTGAGGTGAAGACAATGTTTGCCAGATGGTGTTGGGGGGGCAAAGCCCCCATCAATCTTTCACTTAGACAGGGCCACACCCAGTTATGGCAAGTTAATTTGTTTAATAAATTTGTGACCTGGAGGGCATCCGTCTCTGTAATCTCTACCTAAATTTGTACTGTATTTGAAGATATGTTATCTGACAGGTTTGTAGGCCTTTGCTGAAGTGCCGACAACAATGATATTTGCATTTATCAAAGTGCTTGATTTCTTTGAGTATACAGTGGTAATGAAGTCAAATATCATAACTAGTGAATATGCTTAATAGTCAGAAAATTTATGATGGGAATATACCTTTTATGAGAATTTTGACTGAAGGCTGAGGTAATGACAATGACTCTGGATACACAAAGCTCTTAGAGGGTCATTAGACTCGGTAAGTATTTAGGAAGGAGCTCTTTCATGATTTTCATCAGTAAACTTTGAGAAGATATTTTGTAATTTATTTGTAAATTTCAATTTTACGTAATACAACCTGCGCTGCCGTTCACAGCAGCCAGGAATACGGTGTGCAACATGGAAATGGCATCCTCCCTGGAGCTGGCACTCTTCCAGTCACTGCCTACGCACGTTACATTCCACATTCGTTTATCGATGGGAATAATGCTAAAGCCCCCTTTCTAAGTGCCAAATGAGTCAAATCACACTTGAGGTTTGTGCACTCGTGGCGAGTCTTTTCAGTCACCCTGGCCTTCGCTCTTGACGCTTTGTTCACGTCATTCATATAGCTGCCGAAGTTTTTCCTTGACGTGATTGCAACGTCATCTGGATCCAGGGGGTTAAGTAAAAATATTTTTTCAGAAATAGACCGCCAGAATACATAAGTGTGTGTATTTGACAGCTTTCTTAATGGTGTCAAATGTAATACAATATTTTCTTATAGGAAATTGATAAATAGTGGTTCACTGTTTTGTTTATCACCATTAGAAAGATTCTTATGATTGTGAATGTAGACAAACAAATTGTGTTAATGTCGTTTGTCAAGTTAAAGAGAGATGGCTAGATACAATGGACTTTGGAGGTATGTTTAGGAAATTTTAAACTTTTATTTCATTTATTATTATATGGTTTTATTTCAAGTATTTTTCCGTCCATATATAAAAAAATTCACAAGGTCAAGAGCATTCTTTCAAGCATACTAAGTAATCGTACAACGGGAATTGAAATTGGTCAAGGATGAGTTTTATGAGATGGTGAGAGCCATAGGCATTCTACCCACTCATCCCAGTGCTTTTCAATCATGATTGCCATGCAACTCCTCACAGTGTGGGCCTGTTCACCCTCATTTTCTAATTGTCACATTTAGTCATGCTTACCCTTCATACCAGAAATATATGTGTAGAGATTCCCTACAAAATGAAGGGAGTAAATTTAAAGAAAAATGGGTGTCAGGGAAGTTTGAGAGTCATGGCCATATAATCTTCATATTTCAGTGATTTGTTTAGTAATACGAATGTTATAGCATTATGGGAGGCATTTCTACTGTAATAGTTGTCCTTTGTGTTATTTTCATTATCATCATCATTGCAGTTTTAAATTATTGTTTTCTATCTTCCAGAAAGCATCATACTGATAAGCCATAATGTCTGGAATTGCCATTGCACGTCTAGCAGAGGAGAGAAAGGCATGGAGGAAAGATCATCCATTTGTAAGTATAGATTTTATATCTCTGATAGATTTAAAAAGGTTGATTATATTCATATTGTCAGAAGTACATCTTTTGTTTCTTACAAGGAGTTGCTTTTTAGGTTTAGATATAGTGGAACTTTGGTTGAATATTTAATTTTTCAATGAAAGTTTGTGGCATTGTTATTAACAACTCCTGAACTCTTCTCTCTCTCACAGGGTTTTATTGCAAGACCGACAAAGAACCCTGATGGCACTCTGAATCTCATGAACTGGGAGTGTGCCATTCCAGGAAAGAAGGGGGTAAGTTGTGCATGTTGCTTAACCCACTAATGACAGGTGTCACACATATATGACACCCGGAAAAATAAACATTGCCAGGCGTCCCGCCATTGTGACGCCTGGGCAGATTCCAGGCCAGCCCTGTGCCCCAATTTTGAACCCGCCAGGAAACTATTATTTTCTGCTTCAAAATATACCGTCACTAGTGGGTTTAAATTTTTTTGTATTAGCATTAACCAGTAGTTCATTATCAATCACTGAATTTCTTTAAATTTTCTAAAGATTTTACTCTGGTTATTCTAGCCTGTTGTCAGAATGTGCATATATACTGGGTGGGATCAGTGTAATAAGGGATGTCATCAGTAGTTTTCTTAATGAATTACTTATTTGATGTAAGTGATCATTTGAGTAAAAAAAACAGCAAATATTTGCCTTGAACTGACATACCTTGAAACCAGTATTTCATAGTGTGTATCAATGTATTATCATTTTATGCCACAGACTCCCTGGGAAAATGGACTGTACAGGCTGAGAATGATCTTCAAGGACGACTACCCATCAACCCCACCCAAGTGCAAGTTTGAACCTCCTCTGTTCCACCCCAATGTTTACCCATCAGGTACAGAAAGATTTCTTTTGTAGGGGAGGGAAGTAGAGGGTATGTCTGGTAGAAGTTTTTTGTTTAAATACCTTTTCCTTTGTATAGAACTTCTCAAAGTACCAGTATTTTATTGGTTGAAGCTATTGAGAGATCAAAAAAGTTTTTGAACTTTTGATTTACAGAAACTAATGAAGAGATTTTTCACCCTTTTAATTTTTTGTTTGCCCAACTAGGAACAGTGTGTTTGTCACTCCTGGATGAAGAGAAGGACTGGCGACCTGCTATTACCATCAAGCAAATCCTTTTGGGTATTCAGGACTTGCTTAATGACCCCAACATCAAGGACCCTGCACAAGCTGAAGCCTACACTATTTACTGGTCAGTAGAGGATTAGTTTTTTTTTTTTTTTTTTTTTTTTTATTTAACCCCCAAGCTTAAGACCTTAATATTTTATGTATTTTGCCTGTCTTACATGGTCAGTTTATCAATTGCTTGCTCCTGTTTTAAGTTTATTCTGAGAAATTTTGAGAAGAGAAAGAGTGTAATTAGAAAAGTTGGCTATGGAATAAATTTGTTTGGTTTGAAATATTAGGGATTTTCATTCTGTTCATACAGATAGAGCAGATAGTAACAGTAATGATATGAAATATAGTATATAGTGATCTTAAATATTCAAATAGTATAAGGAAAAAAAAATTATCACCAAGCTACCAATACATGTTTTTATTACAAAATTGTTTTATCAACTGAAAGTCTTGTCTATTTTTATCAGTGCAAGTATAGTAAATAACACACTTCCACCTTTTTTCCCCATTTCCAGTCAAAACCGTCTGGAATATGAGAAAAGAGTACGAGCCCAGGCCAAGGCAATGTCTGCTCCCTTTGAGTAAAGAGAATCGCAGCCATCACATTACAGGAAGCATGGAGAGTTCTTGAGATAGTTATTAGTTATTGAGAAGCATTGCACTTCTGGTTTCTGTGCATCTGCTGGTGGAAAGGTGCCTAGAAGTGGTATTGCCAGCAGACACATTCGGTTTGGGGGTTTCCATGAATGAACTTTTCTAGAGGGATTGAGTACGCCTATGCGATGATGATTGCAGAAAGCGGCATCTTTTTATGTTTTTGAAATACGTGGCGAGCATCTCATTCCATTCTCTGTTTTAAGTGACTTGGCTCACTTTACTTTTTTTTTTTTAATTTGAACCTTCTCAGTGATCTAACAGTCGAGAAAAAGATATCCTCGGACAAGAGAATATATCTACCCGGGAAGTGTTTATTTTTAGGTATACTGTATATTCCCCCCTCCCCCCTCCCTTATGTACCTGTTCCTACAAATATATTTCCTCCACTGAGTCATTAATGGATATTAAGTAATAAACTATTTTTACCATTATTCTAGTTTTTGTTCATCATAAAAGCGCACACAATTCATCATATATTTATGGTGCATTGAATATTCTTATAAGATTGTATGGTTTAGTATCTATGTTACATCAATGTAGATTTGAACTGATAATTTACTTTTCAAGGAAGTACTTACAAATTGAAATAAAAGAATGAAATTGGTGATAACTTTATTATATGGAATTTACAAATGGTTGCATATTTGAAAACTGTACATATTCTATATTGTTTTTCACTAAATCTTGCTCAACAATGATGGATTTATTTAAACATTTGGACCTGGATATGTACAATAATAAAAAATAAAAAATCTTTTTGACTGTAATCTGTGGATTTATCCAAGAAATGGAGATATGAATGATCTTTTCCTCTCTTTACAATGAGAAAGTAAAGATTTGAATTAAAGTGTGCTACCAACACATTGAAATTAATTGATATTCAAAGTAAATTAACCTTTCTTGCAATGAGCTTAATTATTGGAATGCAAGCAGATTATGTCCAATATGCTACTGTTCCTGCTTCTTTTAGTGTGACCTTGGGATGTCTATCAACAATAGAAAAATGGTTTTGTACAAACAATTGTGATGCAGTGATGTATCTATACCAACCAACAATAGAGATGATTATACATGATTCTATATTTGTTTTATACCTTATTCAATATTCCAAAAACATCAAAGATAAGAGGGAAGGGGGAGGGAGGGTTGCACCATTCTTGTACCATCTTTAAAAATTTGCAAATATCCCAAGTTACTTTGTAAATTATAATTCAATGCAAATGATTGGAGTATTCCCTGAAAAGGTAACAGTACTTCATAAAAAGTCCAACTGCTGCACAAGACTTTACACACATTGAAAATGAATGGCCTTTGACAAATATGAGGGCCACAAATTCTTGTGGAAATTTTGTGATGATTGGGAATTTAGTAAATGCAAGTATACCAGATTTAGGTCACCAATAATGTTTGTTTGTTTTTTGTCTAATTTACAGGTTGTTGCAAAATTACATAAAACTAATATATTCTGCTTTTATTTACATATGTGTAAATTACATATACACAATGAAAGTTTCGGCATGATTGGAAAAAGTACACACACCACATATATATAAGTGTAAAAGTAGATTTATAAATCACATTTAATTCAAGACCAATCCTCATTACATGAGTAATCCACTGTAATTGCCAATTTCCAGGCACATAAAAAATAATGAATAGAAAAAAAAAATAGATAAAAAGTTTTTATAACAAGCAGAGTGAATCCATCAGTTCTTGAATACCAAAACATTTCTAAAAAAATATCCCCTTATCATACAATAGCATATAAATTATAATGCATTCTTGCACCTACCATAATGTTAATATCTGTAAGAGCTAGTCTTATGCAAGATGTTACAGCTGCATAAGGAAAGTAAGATGTCCTTCCCCTTCCCTTCCATATCCTCCCACTCCTGTCTCCCCATCTATCCTGTCATACAACTGATATTTACCCCAAAAAGTTTTCTCTTTTTGTTTACACTACAAAGGACTAGCATGCTGGGCCTCAGGTGACTATCTCTCTCCCGACCTGAGAGCCCTAGCAAGGAGGAGCGCGAAGGCAGCAATGGCGGCTACGCCCAGGCCAACCTTGAGCCATGTGCTGTGCTCACCCACTACCACGCCCAGCTGCTTCAGATGTCTGTGGAGAGGGGATTGTATTAATGCGAATTCATGGAAACTTTTAATTTAAGTAAAGGAGATTAATTGTTCATGTTCCATGAAGAAAGAAAACTCATCTTGAATATATGGGGAAAAAAAGTGTCATGTACAATAAATATATATAACATTCTCTTTCATTTCACTTGAGATAGGATTACATGGGTAAGTATTTTGGTGCTTTTTAACTTAGGAAGTTTGCTACATGATGAAACATTACAAACGAACAGCTGTCATTACACCATATGCTTGTTTTGAGAAAAAATAAAGAAGTTATAAGAGTCAAGTATATTTTTATCCTAGCAAGAAACAAAATCAAACCAAAACCAAGGCATATAAAAAAAAAAAAAAAAAAACTCATCAATTCTGTGCAATGTACTGTATATACTAATTCAGTGACATTTCAACTGCCTTTGATGTGTAAATGCTTTACATAACCAGTAATATTACATTTTTGGCCTTACCGAATTTATGATAAATTATCTACTAAATTCCATGCAACAAGAGACATAATGAAAGGTTCATGCTTCTAACCATGCAAAGTATGCAATTTATGAAAAGTTAATTACCTCACTTTGTGGAAAACACTTCTAATTACTCCCCCCTCTCCCTAGATTACAGATGAACTTTGTTACAGTAGTGAAGTCACCTTTTTCCCCCTCAAAGCCGTAACAATACTGCATATTCAGTTAGTAATACTGTACAAGGAATATTACAGAGGGACATTCTCAAAAACCTTTTTAAGGTTATCATGACACTTTGAAAAGATATCAACATTTCTATCATCAACAGAAATCTTATTAATCACCCCCCCCACAAAAGCCTGAGCCTTACATGTCGGTCAGTGCAAAAGAAAATCACAAAAACAAACAAAGCTCTGGAAGGTAAAAGCAGACACAGAAAACCACTCATGTCAAGATAAATAAAAAACTTAATAAAAAGTAAAAAGTAACAAAAAAAAAAATAATAATAATAATATTCACATTACTATTCACATTAAAAAGTTGTCATGCCTTCCCACCTTGCCACATAAGAAGGATCTGGACGCAAAAGAAGCATGTGAACTAAACGACGAAGAGTGCTGGAAGTGCATTCACAGAGACTATCATATCAAGATGGCTTTTTTTTTTTTTTTTTTTTTTTTTTTAATAGGTATCTCAAATTAAACAATAAAGTTCTACTACACAAAGATGCTCACGCTCTTTTTACATGGAAAATTACTGCAAGCCATGATGCTCCTAGTTTCTTCTATTTTTTAATATTACCTTTAACATTCCAAAAGTCTAATGAATCCTTCCTTTCAAATGGACAAGAAACTCTATATGCTACAAATCTAATTCACTGGTCGAAACTTAAAAAGAGACTGGCTCACTTTAAAACAATAAGTGTCTAATATACACTGAGACCACGAAAATTAAATCAAATTGATGCTTTTACATTTAACCACCGACTTCAGTTTCAAAAGACACAAGAATACAGAAATGAGACAATATTACACCAAAGACAACAAATGCAAGTACAAAAAAAGGTTTCTAAAAGGGAATTTACATAACAGTGGTTCCAACTTTTTCTTAGATTAATGGTTTGTATCTGTGCTAAAGTATGCAGATATACAGTATAACCTTGCATTTGGTGATCTTTACCAACCAACTGCCACCCTGAATCATTTTATGCAATCAAATCTTGGAGATGCCTACCATATTAACCCTACAATAAAATATGACACTCTCTCCTCCTCCTTTTGTTAAATTGACGACTTAGAAAAAAGTAATGCATGCTTGCCACTGTCATTCACCTTTTTATCCTAGAAATTTGGCTGCGTATATTCCTAACGTGTGATCAAAGTTGTGTAGGAGTATTGGAGGATGAGATAAAGCACTGAATAACAATGGTGGTACAGATGCAGGTAAATGTTCAAGTGAAAAGGAAAGGCATGAGTTTTGCTTGGGAAATTAGAGATGGCTAAGAGCAGGGTGGTGAGAGCCATCAAGCAGCATTTGGAGATGAACTATCTCTGAGGTAATTTCCTCACATTATCTTCAAATAAAGCATTCATTCTAAAATGCGAGGCTTTATTGTTTAAGTATTAACAACTAATCATTAGTACAAAATGCCTAATATCTATGACAACTTTAACAAAAGCCTCATTCAAGTAGAGAGAGAGAATGGAGAGGAAAGTATAAGAACTCAATTTTGAACAAATTTCATTAGAATATTTGTTAAATAACTATAAAAAATAATGAATAAAGGTAAGCTGTGTTATTCAACACTTAAATATTCATCAGAAATAGGTTTTCAAATAGTTTAAAGTGAACATTAAAGCTCTTAATTCAAGCCAATATTGATGCCATGGTATTTCATCTATTTCTTATTTAAGTGTGCTTCAAATTTTTCTTTCAAACGCAATACACTGGAAACCACTGCTATGACAAATCTACATTGCTTTCTACAAGAATTCTGATTGCCAGCAGATAGCATAGATGAGAAGACAAAGGGTTACTCATTCTAAGCCTCTTTGTTCACAGTAACAATATAGTCCTTGATGCCTTGGTTTCTTATGCTTTATTTACTCCCAGTCATTTTCATAGGCAATAAATGAGCATTCTGAACTCACAATTATGCAGTCTGTATGGAAATAAAACTCGAGGCTCAAAATGATCACCCAATAAGATGCATACAAGCTACCACTTTCAAAAAATAACAGATAACAAGGTTGAAACAAAGATACATATACATTTACACATACATATGTATACATGTGGGTAAGTAAGAGAGAGAGTGTGTGCGTGTGTGTGTGTGTGTGTGTGTGTGTGTGTGTGTGCATGTGTGTGTGTGTGTGCATGTGTGTGTGCATGTGAGTGTGTGCATGTGTATGTGCGTGTGTGTGTGTGTGTGTGTGTGTGTGTGTGTGTGTGTGTGTGTGTGTGTGTGTGTGTGTGTGTGTGTGTGTGTGTGTGTGTGCGTGTGTGTGTGTGTTTGTGCATGTGTGTGTATGTGTGTGTGTGCCTGTGTGTATGCATGTGTGTCTGTGTGTATGCATGTGTGTGCATGTGTGTGTGCATGTGTGTATGTATGTGTATATGTGTGTGTATGTGTGTATGTGTGTGTGTATGTGTGTGTGTGTGTGTGTGTGTATGCGTGTGTATGAGTGTGTATGTATGTGTGTATGCATGTGTGTGTATGTGTGCGTATGTGTGTGTATGTGTGTTATGTATGTGTGTA